AGCTTGCCTCGGAGTAAAACCGTGCGCGCCTTCTTAGCCGTACGACCCTCGGACGCGGGAGCGACATCGTTGCAGCCGCTGCTACCAACTGCAGAGGGAGGCGCTTTACTGGACGACGCGATGGCGGGTGAGAGAATGAACGGCGCTGGAGCACACGGGGGATTGGGCGGCGGTTGCGGCCCCTTGCTGGACGAAGCGATGGCGGGAGGGAGAGTGAAGGGCGCTGGGGAAGGCGCGGGATTGGCCGGCGGTGACGGTCCCTTGCTTGACGACGCGATGGCGGGAGGGAGAGAAAACGGCGCTGGAGGAGGCGCGGGATTGGGTTCCGGTTCCGGCTCCTTGCTGGACGATGGGTCAGCGTCGCTATTAACAACAGCAGCGGTAACAAGAGGCTCTGGTGTGACTGGAACTAAGCAAGGTCGAAGGAAGTCTAGGCCGCTAACCCTACGATCGGGAGGCTTCTCCGGGACGGTCTCAGGCGAGTCCTCCGCAGGAGGTAAGGAAGCCATGGCATGAGGAAAAGCTGGAACAGAACTAATGCGTGTGGAAACAAGATGTGAATGTGGGAGACCCCCTTCATCTCCAAAGGACCGGCTGAAGCAGACGGAACGAAAGCCGCGCCGCCACGGAAAGGGCTCACGAAGCCTGGTGGTGGGGTTTGAAGATTGAATCAGGCGTTGGATTCTAGGCCACATTCATCTCAACCATGCCACCACACATTGCTGTTGTGCCATGCCACCAATCGCGTTCCGCCCATCACATTACGTGAGGGTGGCGCGGTGCGCGTGGCTGCAGAGTCATCATCGAACTTGGCATGCTGGCCGCACCACGCCGCACCTGGATGCCTTGCTGTGCACAGCGCACCAAAATATTTTGTCAGCATTACGTGGTTTACAGCCCACGCGAACAAGAAGACAACCACGGGGGGTGGGGAAATGATTACGCGGGGGGGGGGAGGGGGGGTAATTATCGGCAATTTCGAGGAAGCTTCCTCTCGATAGACCGGCATACAGGGACCACAGACTGTATACTATGTAGTGCCAGACTCCAGCAACGGCTAAGTCTGATGCCTATTACTCTATATCAGGGGCCTAAAAACAGTAACACTGAGGCTCTCAGGGATGAAATATTGATTTCACTGGAAGTACAATGTTCACAAGCCCAATAGCCTGATTGGTCAGACTAATCAGACTATTTAGTCTGATAGCGTCAGCCCTGATTGCAGCGAAATTCAAACCGTGTGGCGCGGGAATCGGTTTCAAAACCTGTTCCCGCTCTTTTCATTTCAAATGCTTCTTCCCGCATCGACCTTGGTCAGACGGTTGCTGCGTCGCTTCGATTCTTCTGACTCCTCGACTTCGTACTCGGTAGAGTCGGCTCCTGCAGCATACAGGAATGCCTTCTCATAAAACTTCGTATCGTAACAGGTTCGGCCTACACTTTCGCACCGAACCAATTCCGAGTCGCCCCGCACCAATCGCGACATTTCCGAGCCACGCACATCTAGAGGTTCTCGCCTAGCTAGTTTTCGCCCTATATATTCTCGCTTTCTTCATTTTTTCCGCATTCTGTAGTCACATTCTCTTTATAAAGTCTTCCGCGCACTCTGTCTAGTAAAACTCATAACACCTTGACTTGTTTTGTATCCTCTGTACAAATATAACACTGTAATTAAAGCGGTACGAATAAGGACAGTTGTACAGTACGGTATCGTATGCTGTAAGCTAACGGTTTCGCATACTGCAAGTCAGCGGTATCGTAAATTGTAAGCCAGCGGTGCGAGGAAGTCCGCTAGTGAGTGACTGTCACCACTGTAAGCTTGAATGTAGGCGCAGTGAGCCTGTCGTATACGTGCGGCGATTTCACGCCGGCGCTTTAATTTCTTCGATTTCGGAGCTTTTGAGTGTCGTCCGTCCAATTGGTCGGGCCGCTTTGGGCATCGTCCATGTGTATCAGGATTCAGGACGGTGCGCCGTGCGCCACCGAGGCCGGACCCTCCCCCTTCTCCCCATAGCTGTAAGCTACAGTGCGAGGCACCAGTCAGTCAGTCGTTATACTGTACGCATGATCATCATGGTGGTGGTTTGTATCATCTGACTCAAGCAACCGTGCGGCTAGTTTCACTTCACATTCGGCGCTTTGAAGGTCAATAACTCGAGTGAATCCCGCATTCCATGATTGGTCGGCTTTCAGGGCAACGACGGCCGCACATCACCGCTCCCATTTCTTCTTCCCCCGGGGACCCCTCCCCCCACACCCTTCCCACCCTGGCGCAGAGTATGATGGACCAACTCGGTAGGAATCGGGACCCACATGAACATGTAAATGCTGTACATGTGATGCCCGGTTGAGCCCCCCGACCTTGCCCTACTCGATTTCGTGCTCCAGTCCCCCATGTCATGCCAGCTTGAACCCCGCTGGTCGGCTTTTAGGGCAACGAGGGCCACACGTCCCCGCCCCCAGTTCTCCCCCCCCCCCCCTCCCGCCCCCCTTGGGGACTGACGCGCATAGTGGACCGACCGACTCGGTGTGAATCGGGACCGACATTGAATGTGATTATACTGTACCCGATTTTGTGCTCCAGTTTCCATGTCATGGCAGCTTCAAGTTGAAACAACTTGCTGTCAGGGCGAGTCGCGGCATCGCACCTTCTGGTCGAAGCTGGCAGCGTGGCCCGGCTGAAAATCCCGAAGCTCGCGGCTTGGTTCGTTGCGCGCGGCCCAAAGCTGTGCCGCGAGGCCCGCGCCGCGATACTGCTGCTGGTACGCCGCGGGAACCGTTCCACTCGTGTTCCAATTCGTCGGGGACTTATACCACTTTGACTGCATTCCAGTTTCAGGCCACATTTTCATTCCAGAACTTCTGAAGTTTCTGAGTCAGAGTTTTAGATCTCCAGTAGCTTTCAATAGGGCCTCCTCCGCTACTCGCTTCACCCGGGCCTTCCTCCTTTACTATTACCAACATGGAGCGTGTGGCTCCTCTCGTCCTCTTCTGTGAGCACTCTTTGCTCCTTTACTCTCTCTGAGCTCCTTTACTCTCTCTGAGCTCCGTTACTCTCTCTGAGCTCCTTTACTCTCTCTGAGCTCCTTTACTCTCTCTGTTACTGCCAGCTTTTCACCCTTCTGTCAACGTCATCCAGCGTGTGGCACCTCTCCTCCTCTGTGAGCGCTCTTTGCTCCTTTCTCTCATATGAGAGTTTCTTATACGGCTATCAAGTCCTACTATGTCTCATGCCATGTCTCTTGCCGCATCATCATCATCATCTCGTGCCATCGTGTGGCACAGTGCAGTGCATGCCCTTCCAGTTGCTTAAGCGTTTTTCTTCAGGATTTGCAGCTATTCCGATATGAGTTTGGATGCAATGCATGCCTTTCCAGTTGCTTAAGCGTTTTTCTTCAGGATTTGCAGCTATTCCGATATGAGTTTGGATGCAGTGCATGCCTTTCCCGGCGTCGTCAGCATTGTCGTTTCTCTTATCCACTTCCTTTGGGAATACCGTTTACCCTTGAAGCCGTTCGCTGCACTCACTGTTACCCTTAAAGCCGTTTTCTGCACTCACTGTTACCCTTGAAGCCGTTCTCTGCACTCATTGTTACCCTTGAAGCCGTTTTCTGCATGGTGATGGTGATGGTGATGACGGTGATGGTGATGGTGATGATGCTTCCCCGCCGTCAGGTGCGGCACTCTTCACGGTCGCGGCCGCGTCTGCCTCTATCTCTCCGCCATTCCTCGCACACAGTGGCAGTGCTTCATCCTCATCATCATCCTATGCGACCGAGGCCGCGAGTCAGGTGGCCAAGCCCTTGGAGCGGAAAGGGAAGACTGTGGGTGAGTTTGTGTAAGAGGGAAGACTGTGGGTGAGTTTGTGTACGAGGGAAGACTGGTGATGAGTCTACTGCTGTGCTCTATGCCCCTGTGTCGTGAGGTTTCCCTAAATTATTCTTCACCCACACAAGTTCATCTAGTTTTTGACCCTTTAAGCCAACCTGGAAAGCACAGATTTGGCACAAGCTTGTTCTATGCGCCCCTATACCCGTTGCCAGAAAAGTACGTGGCTAAGTTGCGACCTACCGTGGTCAACGGGAAAGTCATCGGCTGCAAAGGTGCATCTGGGAAAGTGGTCCTAAAGACCGTGAGGTGCGTACGTTTTTGTTCTAAGTTATCGCTCACGGCTGACAGAATTAGAATTTTCTTGCACTCTTGTGTTGCCTCGCAAAAATCATGCACCAGTCCTAAGTGGTCCCATCCCCCATCCCCACACACCTTTCTATAAGCTACCCCCTACCTCTTCTCCCCTCCCCTCTCTCCCCCGCCTTCCCCCCCTCCCCTTCCTTCCACAACCGCAATCCCCCCACCCCTTCCTCGTCCCTCCCTCTCACGGCCATCCCCCTCTATGCCGTGTTGGCAGGTACTCAGCAACGTCTTACTATTACACCTTTACCGCCACCCTCTTGAAGCTCCAAAATGGTGGAGTGGCACCTAGCTTAACGGGTTACTCCTCTTCCTGCACTGCTACTCCGTCTGACGATTTGATCAATTGGAAAAACATCACTACTGACAAGGAAGGCCGTGCGAAGCGCTACAGCTTCATAGGCAAGGTGCTTTCAGGGCCATCGCCTCTGGCTGACGCGCGTCGGTATCTGCTGACGTGGCTGGCTTTTGGCAAATACTATCAGGTTGGTTACACGGGGGCTGGGGGAGCGACTGTACATGCACTCTGTGGGAAGATGAAGAAAAAGATGTAATCAGCTGCTAGCTTTGGCTTCTTTTGGATGGCTTACCGTATGTTGATGCTCTTGACGGTGCTCAAAGCGTTCATGTTACGGTAGATTGGAGCAGGTAATTAGTGTTGAAAGTGTTTATATCGGAATTTCGCGTACGAGGAGTTGTCGAAGTTCAGGGTTTGAAGTGTGTTGTGCAACTACCGTAAGTGGGCACCTTACAAGAATAATCAGCTGTTTGAACACGCAAGCAATTACAATATATGATAAGTACTTTAATCAAGGCAAACAAAGCAACATGCCAGCAAATAACCTACTCACTGTACAATCATATCCGTTGTTAAGGTCCCTAAACACATCCGCGCTGCGTCGATACTTCTTGACGATCAACATGCCGCATGTATCTCCGTGGTTCACACTGTATGGTCTCTTGGTCGCACATATAAAACCAGAGAAAGGCCGCGTGTCAGTGCCAGCCACACAAATCTGCGAGTCGACCAATCAGTGGGAATGGGAGGAAAGGAGAATATTTATTAGGCGCCTAGAAAGCGTCTCTTGGCTGGACATGCAAAGCCAGAGAACGGCCGCGTGTCGGTGCCAGCCACACAAATCTGCAAGCAGAAAGGGATCGCACAAGAGGCTGATACTAGTCATCTGGAAGAAGCGTGTGAAGAGGAAGGCACTGACCTGGGGCCCCCCTTCAACCCCCCTTTCCCACCCATTTCCCTCATCAAGCAAGGGCTGTTCACTGACCTAACGGGGCCTTTTTTCATACCAGATGAGTGTGCGAACAGACTGTTGAGCTGACTCAAAATTCACCTCGCTTTGAGTCGACTCAGAATTCACCTCGCTTTGAGTCGACTCAAAAGTCCCATTTTGAGTCGACTCAATATTCACTTTTCCCACAGCAGATGAGTGTGCAAATACTCATACCTTCCCAGCCCAACAGTTTCTGAGGCACCTAAAAAAGATACTCAGACCTTCCCGGCCCAGCGCACCCAACTCATCATGTTGCCCTGCATTGGGCTGTACGGCATTGCCCTGACTCAGATGCGCATCTCCAACCTGCTCACCCCCTACCCCCCCACACAGACCACCCACCCGACTCATAATGTTGCATGCATTGGGCTGTACGCGGATCTCCAACCTGCTCACCCCCTACCCCCCCACACAGACCACCCAGCGCACCTGTCTCATCACGTTGCCCTGCAGGGGGCTGTAAGGCAGCAGCGGATCTCCAACCTGCTCACCCCCTACCCCCCCACACAGACCACCCAGCGCACCTGTCTCATCACGTTGCCCTGCAGGGGGCTGTAAGGCAGACGCGGATCTCCAACCTGCTCACCCCCTACCCCCCCACACAGACCACCCAGCGCACCTGTCTCATCACGTTGCCCTGCAGGGGGCTGTAAGGCAGCAGCGGATCTCCAACCTGCTCACCCCCTACCCCCCCACACAGACCACCCAGCGCACCTGTCTCATCACGTTGCCCTGCAGGGGGCTGTAAGGCAGCAGCGGATCTCCAACCTGCTCACCCCCTACCCCCCCACACAGACCACCCAGCGCACCTGTCTCATCACGTTGCCCTGCAGGGGGCTGTAAGGCAGCAGCGGATCTCCAACCTGCTCACCCCCTACCCCCCCACACAGACCACCCAGCGCACCTGTCTCATCACGTTGCCCTGCAGGGGGCTGTAAGGCAGCAGCGGATCTCCAACCTGCTCACCCCCTACCCCCCCACACAGACCACCCAGCGCACCTGTCTCATCACGTTGCCCTGCAGGGGGCTGTAAGGCAGCAGCGGATCTCCAACCTGCTCACCCCCTACCCCCCCACACAGACCACCCAGCGCACCTGTCTCATCACGTTGCCCTGCAAGGGGCTGTAAGGCAGCAGCGGATCTCCAACCTGCTCACCCCCTACCCCCCCACACAGGCCGTCCCACTCACCCGGCTCATCATGTTGCCATGCAGGGGGCTGTAAGGCAGCAGCTCATCGCACGAGAGACCGGGATTCATCTGGAAGAAGCGCGTGGGGGAGGCGATGGCAAACGCCCGCCACAGCTGTTGGCAGGTCTGCGGGCCCTGCAGCACAGTCACGAGCGCTCCGTCGGTGGTGTAGCTGGCTAGACGCGGGGGTGGTTGAGGGCTCCACTCACTCACGAGCATGCCTTGGCTCTCGTGGTTGGCTACAAGAGAGGGTGGTTGAGGGATTGGCTCAGTCATGGGCGACTTGATTGCGGTTGGGGTGATTTGAAGCTCGGGTGTGGATGCGAACGGGGTTGTGATTGCGGTTGGGGTGATTTGGGCTTAGTGGTCGCATTCTAGGTGGGTTTTTCCCAATTCTAGCCACGTGTGGTTGAAGTCCACACAGAGGAGCTGAAAGAAGGGGCAGGTGGGGAGGAGAGGGGGGAAGAGGGAAGGGGGGAGACAGGGGAGTGGGGGGGGGGGGAAGGGGGGAGAAGTTGTGAACGTGCATCCGTTTCTGTATAATTTGATTTGATCAGACACAATGAGGCACGATATGAAACGACGCACCTGCACCCACCTGCACCCATCTGCACCCATCTGCACCGATGCTCACCTGGCCGGGCCTGGGCCCATCGGAGCAGGTGAGGGCGGGGTTGAGCGGCTGTATCTGCGTGGAGAAGAGGGCGCTGAGGGAGTCACACGTGTCACCCTGCCGGCACACACAGGGAGGGAGGAAGAGAGAGAGGGGGGGAGAGAGGGGAGATGGAGGGAACGGGGGCGACAACTGGGTGAGTAGGTAAGGAAACCCAGAGAGGGTGGAGTTGAGGGAGTTGAGTGATTTTTGAGTTGACTCAAGAATCGCACGTGTCACCCTGCTGGAAGACAGGAACCAGCGGAGGGGGTGTAAATGCTCCCACGAACATAAACGCTGGGTGTAAACGCTGGCGAACATAAATACCAGTGTGCACGGCAGTGAATGGAAATAAGCTTATTATGAATTGCCGAAAACAGCCATATACGCAATGGCACTTACATAAACGCCGGCACTTACATAGTTAGCAGAGTACATGGCAGTGCATGGCGAGAAAGCCCGGCTGGTGACGTTGACAACTGTGTTCACAGGGATGGGCGCTCGGCAATTGAACCCCTGCAGACAGAAGAGAACAAAGAGACAGAGAGGGTCGGAGTGAGACATCTCAAAGCTAAGTTAGAAGAGTACATGGCAGTGCAGGCTGTGAAAGCCCGGCTGGTGACGTTGACAACTGTGTTCACTGGGATGGGCGCTCGGCAGTCAAACCAATGCAGTCAGAACAAGGAGACAGAGAGGATGGGATTGGCTGGAACAAGGTGAGATGAAGGATGGGATAGGTTGGAACAAGGAGAGATGAGGGATGGGATTGGTTGGAACAAGGTGAGATGAGGGATGGGATTGGTTGGAACAAGGTGAGATGAGGGATGGGATTGGTTGGAACAAGGTGAGATGAGGGATGGGATTGGTTGGAACAAGGTGAGATGAGGGATGGGATTGGTTGGAACAAGGTGAGATGAGGGATGGGATTGGTTGGCTGGAACAGGGAGGGAGAGATGCTTGTCAGAAAAAGGAGATTGTGGGATGAGACAGGCGGAACACTGGTGGTGGTAAGAGCAAGGGGGGGTGAGGGGAAATGAGGGACAGTGAATGGCAGTGAGCGTGAGTCCGAGCGTGAGTCCGAGTGTGAGTCCGAGTGTGAGTCCGAGTGTGAGTCCGAGTGTGAGTCCGAGTGTGAGTCCGAGTGTGAGTCCGAGTGTGAGTCCGAGTGTGAGTCCGAGTGTGAGTCCGAGTGTGAGTCCGTAAGTGTTGAGGGCAGCAGAATAAGAAGAGCCCAGAAGCATGACCTTGTTTTGGTCGAAGAACTCGGATTGTGTGAGCCCGTAAGTGTTGAGAATGAGCGGGCATGTGAGGCCGTAAGGTGACAGAAAGATTGGCACTGCAAGCATGGGGCAAGCATGGAGGAAGCAAGGGTAAGGCATGGAGTAAGCATGATTCAAGCATGGGGTAAGCATGATTCAAGCATGGGGTAAGCATGATTCAAGCATGGGGTAAGCATGATTGAAGCATGGGGTAAGCATGATTGAAGCATGGGGTAAGCATGATTGAAGCATGGGGTAAGCATGATTGAAGCATGGGGTAAGCATGATTGAAGCATGGGGTAAGCATGATTGAAGCATGGGGTAAGCATGATTGAAGCATGGGGTAAGCATGATTGAAGCATGGGGTAAGCATGATTGAAGCATGGGGTAAGCATGATTGAAGCATGGGGTAAGCATGATTGAAGCATGGGGTAAGCATGATTGAAGCATGGGGTAAGCATGATTGAAGCATGGGGTAAGCATGATTGAAGCATGGGGTAAGCATGATTGAAGCATGGGGTCAGCGTGATTGAAGCATGGGGTAAGCGTGATTGAAGCATGGGGTAAGCATGATTGAAGCATGGGGTAAGCATGATTGAAGCATGGGGTAAGCATGATTGAAGCATGGGGTAAGCATGATTGAAGCATGGGGTAAGCATGATTGAAGCATGGGGTAAGCATGATTGAAGCATGGGGTAAGCATGATTGAAGCATGGGGTAAGCATGATTGAAGCATGGGGTAAGCATGATTGAAGCATGGGGTAAGCATGATTGAAGCATGGGGTAAGCATGATTGAAGCATGGGGTAAGCATGATTGAAGCATGGGGTAAGCATGATTGAAGCATGGGGTAAGCATGATTGAAGCATGGGGTAAGCATGATTGAAGCATGGGGTAAGCATGATTGAAGCATGGGGTAAGCATGATTGAAGCATGGGGTAAGCATGATTGAAGCATGGGGTAAGCATGATTGAAGCATGGGGTAAGCATGATTGAAGCATGGGGTAAGCATGATTGAAGCATGGGGTAAGCATGATTGAAGCATGGGGTAAGCATGATTGAAGCATGGGGTAAGCATGATTGAAGCATGGGGTAAGCATGATTGAAGCATGGGGTAAGCACGATTCAAGCATGGGGTAAGCACGATTCAAGCATGGGGTAAGCACGATTCAAGCATGGGGTAAGCACGATTCAAGCATGGGGTAAGCACGATTCAAGCATGGGGTAAGCATGATTCAAGCATGGGGTAAGCATGATTCAAGCATGGGGTAAGCATGATTCAAGCATGGGGTAAGCATGATTCAAGCATGGGGAAAGCACGATTCAAGCATGGGGTAAGCATGATTCAAGCATGGGGTAAGCATGATTCAAGCATGGGGTAAGCATGATTCAAGCATGGGGAAAGCACGATTCAAGCATGGGGTAAGCATGATTCAAGCATGGGGAAAGCACGATTCAAGCATGGGGTAAGCATGATTCAAGCATGGGGAAAGCACGATTCAAGCATGGGGAAAGCATGATTCAAGCATGGGGAAAGCATGATTCAAGCATGGGGTAAGCATGATTCAAGCGTGGAGTAAGCATGGTTTAAGCATGGGTAAAGCATGGGGTCGATTTTGAGCTGACTAAAAGACGGTACGGTAGGGCGTGAGGAAGGAAGGTGGGCACTGAATGCATAACAACGGGCGCCATGGTCTAGGCTAGGCAGGCCATTGCACAGAGAAGGTGATAAAGATGCCTACAATGGCATCAAGATGCCTCCAATGGCATCAAGATGCCTCAAGGCCATTGTATTACCTTGAGGATAAGAATTGCTACAATGGCTAGGGTCAAGGATAAGCCTTGAGAAATTTCGGAAACAGGCATAACAAAGTGCCATGAATGAGCCTTGAAATTTCTCAGAAGTGAGTTTTTGAAAATTCTCAAAAACACCCTGAAAGCCATCGAATGACGGATGGAATCATAAGACAAAACAGGCATGTGACAGCAGTACGTGTGACAGGGGTACATGTGACAGCGGAACGTGTGACAGGGGTACATGTGACAGGGGTACATGTGACAGCGCGGTACATGTGACAGCGGTACATGTGACAGCGGTACATGTGACAGCGGTACATGTGACAGCGGTACATGTGACAGCGGTACATGTGACAGCGGTACATGTGACAGCGGTACATGTGACAGCGGTACATGTGACAGCGGTACATGTGACAGCGGTACATGTGACAGCGGTACATGTGACAGCGGTACATGTGACAGCGGTACATGTGACAGCGGTACATGTGACAGCGGTACATGTGACAGCGGTACATGTGACAGCGGTACATGTGACAGCGGTACATGTGACAGCGGTACATGTGACAGCGGTACATGTGACAGCGGTACATGTGACAGCGGTACATGTGACAGCGGTACATGTGACAGCGGTACATGTGACAGCGGTACATGTGACAGCGGTACATGTGACAGCGGTACATGTGACAGCGGTACATGTGACAGCGGTACATGTGACAGCGGTACATGTGACAGCGGTACATGTGACAGCGGTACATGTGACAGCGGTACATGTGACAGCGGTACATGTGACAACGGTGCATGTGACAGCGGTACATGTGACAGCGGTACATGTGACAGCGGTACATGTGACAGCGGTACATGTGACAGCGGTACATGTGACAGCGGTACATGTGACAGCGGTACATGTGACAGCGGTACATGTGACAGCGGTACATGTGACAGCGGTACATGTGACAGCGGTACATGTGACAGCGGTACATGTGACAGCGGTACATGTGACAGCGGTACATGTGACAGCGGTACATGTGACAGCGGTACATGTGACAGCGGTACATGTGACAGCGGTACATGTGACAGCGGTACATGTGACAGCGGTACATGTGACAGCGGTACATGCCTGCGAGAGGCAAGCAGATGAACGAGCTAGGAATCTAGAATCGTGAGCACACTACACAAACCAAGTTGTTGCTTGAAACTAAATCAGGGATTTTGGTCTGAAGAACACAATCTGCCTTGGGGAAAGTGACAGGTGGCTTTTGAGACGTCTCAAAAGTCGACTTGAAACTAATCCAGGGCTCTTGGGGAGCATAATTTGCAGTTTGGCTTTGGGGACAGAGACAGGTGGTAAGCAAGCAAGGGCAAGTGTTACGCACAGAGTTGGAAATGCGCAGTGCCAATGGGGAAGAACTAGAAAGGGAAGAAGCGCGAGGCGCACGGGCAGGTGGTAAGCAAGCAAACAACCACAGTTTCCCGTTTGGGCAAGTGGTACGCACAGAGGTGGCAGCGGGCAGTGCCTTTGGGGAAGAAGTAGAAGGGGAAGAAGGGCGAGGGGCAGAGGCAGGAGTAGGTGCCGTCCATTTCATCAATGCACACCCCCGGGGCACATGGGTTGCTGGCGAGCTGGCGACATGAGAAGGAGTCTGGATAAGGGAGGAAAGGGAAAAGGGGACGGTGAGAGCAGGGGACAGAGGACAGGGGGGAAAGGGGACAGAGGATGGGGGGAACGGGACGGAGGACAGGGGAAAGGGGTCGGGGGGCAGGGGAAAGGGGTCGGGGGGGAGGGTGAAGAGGGACAGCGGAAGCGGGAAGGAGAAGGGATGGGGAAAGGAGGAGAACGGGGAGGAAGTGAATGGATAATGGAGAATGGAGAATGGTTAAAAAGGGGAACTGGAAGGGTGGTAACAGAGCAAGAGTACACAACGTCAAGAGCAAGAGTACACAACGTCAAGAGCAAGAGTACACAACGTCAAGAGCAAGAGTACACAACGTCAAGAGCAAGAGTACACAACGTCAAGAGCAAGAGTACACAACGTCAAGAGCAAGAGTACACAACGTCAAGAGCAAGAGTACACAACGTCAAGAGCAAGAGTACACAACGTCAAGAGCAAGAGTACACAACGTCAAGAGCAAGAGTACACAACGTCAAGAGCAAGAGTACACAACGTCAAGAGCAAGAGTACACAACGTCAAGAGCAAGAGTACACAACGTCAAGAGCAAGAGTACACAACGTCAAGAGCAAGAGTACACAACGTCAAGAGCAAGAGTACACAACGTCAAGAGCAAGAGTACACAACGTCAAGAGCAAGAGTACACAACGTCAAGAGCAAGAGTACACAACGTCAAGAGCAAGAGTACACAACGTCAAGAGCAAGAGTACACAACGTCAAGAGCAAGAGTACACAACGTCAAGAGCAAGAGTACACAACGTCAAGAGCAAGAGTACACAACGTCAAGAGCAAGAGTACACAACGTCAAGAGCAAGAGTACACAACGTCAAGAGCAAGAGTACACAACGTCAAGAGCAAGAGTACACAACGTCAAGAGCAAGAGTACACAACGTCAAGAGCAAGAGTACACAACGTCAAGAGCAAGAGTACACAACGTCAAGAGCAAGAGTACACAACGTCAAGAGCAAGAGTACACAACGTCAAGAGCAAGAGTACACAACGTCAAGAGCAAGAGTACACAACGTCAAGAGCAAGAGTACACAACGTCAAGAGCAAGAGTACACAACGTCAAGAGCAAGAGTACACAACGTCAAGAGCAAGAGTACACAACGTCAAGAGCAAGAGTACACAACGTCAAGAGCCAATCCAAAATAGACAAGCTACGTCATCCACAAAGCAAGCATAATGGCACCGATCGCACTCCACTTTTCACCCACCGCACTCCACCACTTACCTACTGCACTCCACCACTTATCTCATTCCACCACTTACCTATCTCACTCCACCTCTCACCTATCTCACTCCACCTCTCACCGACCGCACTCCACCTCTCACCGACCGCACTCCACGTCTCACCAGGGAAGCAGGAGGGCAGGCCGGCGAGGTGAGAGGGTTCAAAGGAGGGGAGATTGAAGGGGCACTTGCAGGAGGGCACAAGGATAGACGGGTCCCACGGGGCAGGTGCCTTGGTGCATGCACCCATGCCACAGGGGAGCACTGGAGAGGCCTTGCAGGGGTCGGTGTCTGTTGTGGGGGGGAGGGAGGATGGGAATGGGGAGTGTGCGGAGGTCTGTGGCAGGAGGAGAATGGGGACATAGCGGGGGCATACGGGAATGCCGGGGGAGTGTGACGGGGCATCGGGGGACACCCGGGGGAGTGTGACGGGGCATCGGGGGAGAACACGTGTGATGAGTCGACTCAAAAATCGACTAAAAAATCGGCTAAGAAATCGACTAAAAAATCGACTCATCACACCCCGGGGAGTGTGACGGGGCATCGGGGGACACCCGGGGGAGTGTGACGGGGCATCGGGGGACACCCGGGGGAGTGTGACGGGGCATCGTGGGACACCCGGGGGAGTGTGACGGGGCATCGGGGGACACCCGGGGGAGTGTGACGGGGCATCAGGGGACACCCGGGGGAGTGTGACGGGGCATCAGGGGACACCCGGGGGAGTGTGACGGGGCATCGGGGGAGAACACGTGTGATGAGTCGACTCAAAAATCGACTAAAAAATCGGCTAAGAAATCGACTAAAAAATCGACTCATCACACCCCGGGGAGTGTGACGGGGCATCGGGGGACACCCGGGGGAGTGTGACGGGGCATCGGGGGACACCCGGGGGAGTGTGACGGGGCATCGTGGGACACCCGGGGGAGTGTGACGGGGCATCGGGGGACACCCGGGGGAGTGTGACGGGGCATCAGGGGACACCCGGGGGAGTGTGACGGGGCATCAGGGGACACCCGGGGGAGTGTGACGGGGCATCGGGGGAGAACACGTGTGATGAGTCGACTCAAAAATCGACTAAAAAATCGGCTAAGAAATCGACTAAAAAATCGACTCATCACACCCCGGGGAGTGTGACGGGGCATCGGGGGACACCCGGGGGAGTGTGACGGGGCATCGGGGGACACCCGGGGGAGTGTGACGGGGCATCGGGGGAGACCACCCTGCAAGATCAGGTCGCCCTTAGAGGAACCGAATCAAGGAGGTTCGAGTACAAGGGGCAAACTTTTGAGACCGAATCAACGGACTCAAACCCAAGGAGGTTCAAGTCCAAGGGGCGAACTTTTGAGACGTCTCAAAAGACTTAACCCAAGGAGGTTCTCAAACTCAATTCAGTACAAGGGGCAAACCTTGACCTTAGTCCCCTTCTCAACCCTAAACCCTAAACCCGAAACCCGATGAGGGTCAGCTGAAGCAGTTCATCTCAACCACAGCGGCATTTTGACCTGGTTTTCCCCCCGCTCCCCCCTCTCCCCCATTCCCCCTTCTCCTCCTTTCCCCCCCCCCCCACACCCCCTACCTGTGAATCGGAAGGTCCAGGAGGAGAGGACGACGGGGGAAGGCAGGCGGCCAGGGAAGGGAGGGAGAGCAGCGCTGCTGAACCCAACGAACAGCTGCCCAAAGGATGGCGACCATACGTCCGTTGCACTGCTGTCACTGCTGCTGCTACTGGCGCCGCCACTGCGGCTGTTGCTGCCACCGGTGCCATCGCCGCTACCACTGCTGCTTCCGCTGGTGTGAGCAGCTCCAGTGAGAGCAGCACAGAGGTCAATAGAGACATTCAAGCTGCCTCGTAGAACAGGAGGGCGGTACCACCTGATCAGCATCTCCTTGCTGCTCCCGTTATAGTCAACCCTCATCTGCCACACCTCCTCTGGCTCCATAACATCCAACACCTTCTTTGCGAAAACCGAGGTCATGTTGAAATCGGTGTTAACGCCAATGTGTATATTATTAATATTATTTATATCGCCTGTTTCTGGGTTTGCTACAGTGTCCCACACCACAGCTACACTCTGCGCGCCGTCCGGCCAGCTGCCATTAGCGAGTCGTGAGGATGGGTCCCGACCGTACCCCATATAAGCCCCGCCTAGGCCCAGGGACGCATGTGTGCTTATAACGAACGCGAGCCCTTGGGAGGCGGATATATTCATGGAAAAGCCGTATGTGAAGGTGAACGAGCGAGCCATGCAGGTTGGGGGTTCAGTTGCTGTGGGTTGGGGAAAGGAGGAGGAAGGAGAGGAACGGGGGGAACTGCGAGAAGGAAAGGGAGGAGGGAAGGGAGAGGAGGATGAGGAGTAGAGGAGGGGGAGACGACGAGGGAAGAAGAGGGCTCCAGGGGCCGGCTCATCTGATTGGCCAGTGGATGGTGCCACGTCAGCAGCGACGGAGAGATCTGCAGCGAAGAAACGCTTCCTGGTGCTGCCACGTGTCAGCAGGGGAGTGGCTGGCGTGATGTAGGGGAAGGAGAACGAGTCTGCCGCCCAAAACGGAAGCGGATCCTCCGCTGCTGGGGTGAACAAGGGGGAGGGAGGCAAGAGGAGGAGAGGAGAGGAGACGGGGGGAAGGAGGGTTGGATGAAATGTACGCGGATCCTCCGCTGCTGGGGTTGGCATGATATGTGAGAGGGGGCAGGGGCGGGGTGGGGGTTGACATGGTATAAGGGGAGTGGGCGGAAGGTAGGATGGGGTTTCAGACAGACTGACGGAGGGCAAAGGCAGTGAGGAGCTGAAAGAAAAATAGGGAAAAATTGCAGAGCTGTACACACACATGTAATGAGAACTCTAAAAACAGGGCCTGGATAATAAAGAGGGAAAGCGCACTCTCAAGAACAACAACAACTCACTGTCCCCGACTTCAAACGTCCACCCCAGCTGAAGAGGAGGAGGAGGAGGAGGAAGAGGAAGAGGAGGAGGGAGCAGGGGAGAGCCAGACAGTGAGTTGGGAGGAGGAGGCGTTGTATTGGATGGTGGCGAGGAGGGTCTGACCAGCGTTGAGGGAGGGAATGCGGACGGGGTGCACGGGGGCAGAGGCGAGCGAGAGCATGCTGCCGTGCAGGTTCACCCCCACGTGGTGGTCGGGCAGGTCGAAGAACTCGGGGGAGGCCGATGTGTCAAACTCCACTGCCAGGCTCCGCTGCTGCTGCGGTTGGTGGGTGGGGGAGGGTGGGGGAGGGTGGGGGAGAGTGGGGGAGGGTGGGGGTTGGGAACGGAACATTCTGAGACGTCTCTAGTTGTGAGAGATTCACATGTGTCAAGCTCCACTGCCAGGCTCTGCTGCTGCTGTGGTTGGTGGGTGGGGGAGGGTGGGGGGTGGAGCAGGAGGGGGAACAGGGGGGTAGGCAGAGGAGCAGCAGAGCAGGAGAGCAGGAGAGCAGGAGAGCAGGAGAGCAGGAGAGCAGGAGAGCAGGAGAGCAGGAGAGCAGGAGAGCAGGAGAGCAGGAGAGCAGGAGAGCAGGAGAGCAGGAGAGCAGGAGAGCAGGAGAGCAGCTCCTCCTTCCCCCGCCCCTCCCCCAGCTGCTGCTTCTCCGCCTGCTCCCCCTCCCCCTGCTGTTGCGGCGGCGGAGGCGTTCAGCGGAACTGCCAGCAGCAGCACCTTCAGCAGCCGCACCGCCGCCCCTTCTGCTTCCCCTTCCGCGCAGAGGCTAGCGCGCGCAAAGAACGAGAGGGACAGCTGGCGCGGGGACTGCGGCTTCTGCGCCTGCTGCGCCTGCTGTGAGTCATTGCTGGTCGGCGCCGCGGGTTGGATTTCGCACAGCGCTTGCGCCACGCCTGGGCCGCCAAACGCGCTTCTACCATTGTTACTACTATTGCTACTATCATTGATACTACCAGAAGCGTCATTGCCACTAGAGGACGCGCGAAAAGGGGAACTCAGCCGTAAAAAACGGGACCCGTCGGCTGCCAGTAGGGTGTCCGTGACTCCCGTGATCCCGTTCGCGATTGACACGTCAGCAGGCGACGCCGCCGCCCCTCCTGCTGTCGCGATCGCTTCCGCCTGTGTCGCCGTATCTGGCGCAGGGAATTGCCCGTGGTTTCCGCCGCCAGATGCGGTGGCTAAGACCTCGTCGTTCAAGAATGTTTCTCCAGGTTTTAACACGCGCCACGGGAATAAGTGCGCCCATGGTTGGCACGACGCGTTCAGCTTCTTGCGACGCCATCCTATATCGAGACAGCTTGTATCGAAGCTTGGGTTCGAGAGGAGGTTTGAGGATTGACCTGGGGGACAAAGAAGCGGGGGAATAATGGAAGTCAAATTAGCAGCGAAACCCTAAATGTAGCTTCGCCAGTTTTTGCCACACTGGTGAGCTGGCGGCAAAATCTAGGGCATGAAAAGGCTGGAGGAACCTAAATCGCGGTAACATCAAGAACAGCATAAACGGATCCTATTACTTGGATTGGTTAGGCTATGGCAGTCGACGAGGCAGTGAGCGACACGAACGAAGGCTACGAAATTGAGAAGAATCGAAACCCGTAGAGAACTCGCGACACAGCGAAGCCACGTGGCTTTTAAATCGACCCGCAGTTTGCAGCGAGAGATGCGGTGGTGATTCATCTGCATCGAGGTGTTCTCAGGAGAGTAACCCCAACCCAAGGATTAATTTGAAGTACACCGAGTCGCGTGATCAGAAAGGGTAAGTAGCCATTCAGAAAGAGAGTTAATGCACCGACAAAGATGGCAAAGAGGGAGGGGTGGCATAGCTAAGAAGGATGTGGTGCAAGTTCTGGCGGTAAAAAAAACGTTGTCGATCGACTCGTCACCGTACTGCAACGATGCTAATCTATACTGCACCACAAAAAGCCGAGTCCAACCAAAACCTTTTCTAGGGTGGCTTTTGGTGGGCAATAGTAGATTGTGATTCCCCTAGTTGGAATTTGCGATGGCGCGAAAACACACAAGACGCGATGACCTTGAGTTGAGCCTGGGAGCGGCGGGAGGGGCGGGCGGACCGCTGGCCTGGCACGCCCCACGCCAACCAACCTTTTGTGTTTGCTAATGCTGTGGCGAAACCTGTCTGTATCGTGAAGGTTGTAACCTCCTCCCTCTTTCGTGTTTGCCATGCCAAGCCAGATGTTCCGAACCGAACCAAGCAGCACCGCAGCAGCCACACGGGACACAACAGTGGACAGCATCGCAGATTGGTTGTTGGCGATGTAACACACGGCACAGGTTGTCGCTTTCGCTACCACAGGACGAGCTCCATGACGTGCTCTTGCTTTGTACACTCCCATATTTTCCATAAATTTTACGTCAATCCACCTGTCAAATTTGACTGAACCCCGGGGCGTACTCCAAACATTCCCTGTCCAGTTACGAGGTGCATCAATGTTGCAAGGTACAGTCCAGGGTTACTGAATAACGAGAGTTACCGCACCAGTGACCGAGGGATTAATATAATGGCGAAGAAAATTTTGCGAAAGACAGGTGTTACTGTTTGACGCGAAACGAATTAGCGGTGACCTTTCGATGTGTTCCGAACGTCCCGGGGAACGCTTTCGAAATGTCGTCATATATGTACAGTCTCTCGTAAAAATTCTGTTACATGCCAGATGTGGTAACTGAGCTGAAATCTGCCGTACATGTGCAAAGTTAGACCCGCCCTAAATCGCTTGAGAAGAATGCAGGGACTTTGGGGGAGGTCAACTTCAAATTTGGCGGGAAAGAGCACTGTGACTGCCGACAAGGTGTGAAGGTGGTACAGTTTGTTGGTGCTCTTGTTCTGGGTGGGATTTGCTCAAGCAATTCTGTATTGCCGCCGTCCCTTTCGCGTTTGGTGACGGGCAAGCGCACCTCATGTACACCTGATGCTCACCTCCTGCACGCGAAATTGCCTTGTAACGGATGGAAACCTTGCACCCGTGGGTTTTGTGCCGTGACGTTGCACCCACGTTACAAGCACGTCGACCAATACGAACCACAGAAACTGAAGTTTGACTGACGAGACCAAAGTCAAACAGTCAGCGTTGAGTTACAATTGTTTTTTATAAGCCCTTTTTGCCCGATGCGAATTGACGAAATCTTCAAGCGAAGCGAGAATCGCTTATAAGCCCAGAGGGTAAGGCGAGGTCGGGGGGCTCAACCGGGCATCGTGTGTACAAGCCTTCGCGGCTCGGGAAAAAAATATACATGAGGTGGTTTGTTTGTGGATGTCCCAAGTGCAACCACCCCAAACCCACTTCGGCAGTGTGCAACATCTGCTACTGAACCCAAAATAAAGGGGTGATCAAAGTGCTGCACCAGCTCGACGTCGAGGGACGTCGGTGAATTTCAACCCTCGGATAAAAATTTCCAACCGTCAGGATTCACCGAAATCCCTCGACGTCGAGCTGGTGCCTCACTTTGATCACCCCTTAAGCCAGGAGGTTCTGCGTCAGCGAGTGGTCCCCACGGGCATCCGAGGCCCGGCGTCCCGGTCAGGAGCCGAAGGGCCGGGCCTCGGTTCCCTCGCCAGGAGGGTCGGGCGAGGTGGGCGGTGCCAGTTCAGTGCCACCCTCGCATTCCTTCGCGTGCCCGGGGTGACGACGGCGAGGGCATCGGCCCTCCTCGCGGCCCCTCCCTCGCGGAGGAACCCGACACCCTCGGCCCGAATAGAGCAGTGTGCAACATCTGCTACCCAAAATTCGCCAGGAAACTGTACTGTGCTGTACTACCGCGTGAGGACACCGTAACCCTCGCCCCATTACGGGGCCCTGGTTACGGAGGCCCGCGTGGGATTACGGGCCGTTTTCCTCGAGAGGTTCGACAATGCAGTTGCCAAATTCCCAACGTCAGAAATAGGTGGCATTCACAATCTCGTACAGGTCCACACAGGCAGGCACAACCAGTCATAGCGGACAACTTGTTTTGTTGCAACGACACCGTCACACCGCAGTCCCGAGCCGCATTATGCTGCGGATTTTTGTGGCCGGGACGGGCGGGGCATGCGGCTACTTCTGCAAACAGCCGCGATTGCCTCGTCTGCAGGGCTCGAATGCCCCACAGGAGATACAGACAGCTCCTTTTCCGTTGAGAGATACCGTTGAGAGATACCTGACAGCTCCTCTCAGCTGATTTCCGGGAGTTCCGCTGACAAAGACGGCTAATGACGGTCTGAGTGGTTAGCACGTAGTCGTACTAATTAGCAGCAGCAGACGGGATAACAGCTGCCGAGATGAAGCCGCAATCTACGCCGCCGCCTGTTGCGCTTCTGACAACCCTAATTTGGCTTGTAATCCCGCTGTTCTATGCGGTTCGAGGAGTTGCAACGGTAGATGTGGTGTTAAATGAGTCCCAGAGTGCGTGAGCATGTAACCCTAGTTTCTAGCGTCACTGATTACTTATTTTATTTATTTATTTATTTATTTATTTATTTATTTGTTTTCGTTGTTTAATTAACAGCGAGTAACCCTCGTGCGACCATGACCGTACCAGGGTGCATTCTCCGAAGATTGTTCTCACGTTCGAAAGGTCTCGAATATCGAATTGGAAACGTGTCAAAAAACTGTTACTGCCTGTTTTTTCCTTCAACAATCAACGCGGGTCACTGTACTACCACCTACGTTTCAATGGCCGGCGCTTACGTACGATTTCCCTCCAAACCCTGCCAGGGATATTTTGAGAATTCTTTAAAAAAAATTACCTCGAGCTCCCGCCAACCGTGCCAGAACCTGCACTTTGCTGGAACCGGCGGCAGCGGCGCTCGATTTGAGTGCACCATCCTGTCACGTCCGAGTCGCGACACGTTTTGAGACGTCTCAGAACGGCAGCCTTGTTAGTTATCACTGCTAGAAACAGCGGCGGGAGCAACAACGTTGGCTTTAAATGCATCATCCCGTCACGTCCGAGTCGCGACCCGCTGTGTTGCCGCGTAGAGCGCCGTCCATGGCTGTCAACCTATTAGAAGCTTCTTTCGGGCCTTCTCTGACGTTTCCCCCACTTCCGCCTTCCTCCCCCTGCATCGGGCATCGCAGTGACTGATGATGATCCGGTCCGGGGGCTTCTCTGTCTCACTCCCTTCTCTGTCTCACTCCCTTCTTCTCCCCCTCCCCCCTCCCTCCTCCCCACTTATTTCCAGAATCTGCGCTGGAGAAGGTGGTGGGTGCGTCGGGCATCGCAGTGAGTGACGACGATATGATTTGGAGCGCGGTTGCTTCTCTGTCTCACTCCCTACTCCTCCTCCTCCCTTTCCTGTCCGCCCCTACACCAGAATTCGCGCTGGAGAAGGTGGTGAGTGCGTCGGGCATCGCATTGAGTGACGATGATATGATTTGGAGCGCGGTTGCTTCTCTGTCTCACTCCCTACTCCTCCTCCTCCCTTTCCTGTCCGCCCCTACACCAGAATCCGCGCTGGAGAAGGTGGTGAGTGCGTCGGGCATCGCAGTGACTGACGATGATCTGGTGTGCGGGGGATTCCTCTTCATGATCTCGTGCGACGCCCAGGGCCGTGTGACCGGCGTGTGAGTGCGATGAGGATGGGGATGCATAAGTGTGGTGAGTGCGTCAAACATCGGCAGTAACTGACGATGATCTGGTGTGCGGGGGATTCCTCTTCATGGTCTCATGCGACGCTCAGGGCCGTGTGACCGGCGTGTGAGTGCGAGGAAGGCGTGCAACGGTGGGGATGTGCGGGCGAGGGTGGGGATGTGCGGGCGAGGGTGGGGATGTGCGGGCGAGGGTGGGGATGTGCGACCGCGGGTGGGGATGTGCGACCGCGGGTGGGGATGTGCGGGCGAGGGTGGGGATGTGCGACCGAGGGTGGGGATGTGCGACCGCGGGTGGGGATGTGCGGGCGAGGGTGGGGATGTGCGACCGAGGGTGGGGATGTGCGACCGAGGGTGGGGATGTGCGGGCGATGGTGGGGATGTGCGACCGAGGGTGGGGATGTGCGACCGCGGGTGGGGATGTGCGGGCGAGGGTGGGGATGTGCGACCGAGGGTGGGGATGTGCGACCGAGGGTGGGGATGTGCGGGCGAGGGTGGGGATGTGCGACCGAGGGTGGGGATGTGCGACCGAGGGTGGGGATGTGCGACCGAGGGTGGGGATGTGCGACCGAGGGTGGGGATGTGCGACCGAGGGTGGGGATGTGCGACCGCGGGTGGGGATGTGCGACCGAGGGTGGGGATGTGCGACCGCGGGTGGGGATGTGCGACCGCGGGTGGGGATGTGCGACCGAGGGTGGGGATGTGCGACCGAGGGTGGGGATGTGCGACCGAGGGTGGGGATGTGCGACCGCGGGTGGGGATGTGCGACCGAGGGTGGGGATGTGCGACCGCGGGTGGGGATGTGCGACCGCGGGTGGGGATGTGCGACCGAGGGTGGGGATGTGCGACCGAGGGTGGGTATGTGCGACCGAGGGTGGGTATGTGCGACCGTGGGTGGGGATGTGCGACCGAGGGTGGGGATGTGCGACCGCGGGTGGGGATGTGCGACCGCGGGTGGGGATGTGCGACCGAGGGTGGGGATGTGCGACCGAGGGTGGGGATGTGCGACCGCGGGTGGGGATGTGCGACCGAGGGTGGGGATGTGCGACCGCGGGTGGGGATGTGCGACCGCGGGTGGGGATGTGCGACCGAGGGTGGGGATGTGCGACCGAGGGTGGGGATGTGCGACCGAGGGTGGGGATGTGCGACCGAGGGTGGGTATGTGCGACCGAGGGTGGGGATGTGCGACCGAGGGTGGGGATGTGCGACCGAGGGTGGTGATGTGCGACCGCGGGTGGGGATGTGCGACCGAGGGTGGGGATGTGCGACCGAGGGTGGGGATGTGCGACCGAGGGTGGGGATGTGCGACCGCGGGTGGGGATGTGCGACCGAGTGTGGGCAGGGTGGAAAATTGCGGTCAGGGAAATTTTCGCTTGGAGATTTTCGGTGGAAATTTTCGGGCAGATTCTGAAAATTTCGGCGAAATTTTGTTAGACCTTAAAAAAAAATGTCAAAAAATTCCTGGCGGCGAAATGCCAGATATATGCAGAGATCTGGTGCCTAAATGGCAGATCCACCTAGATCTGGCGGCGAAATGTCAGATCCGCCTAGATCTAGTGGCGAAATGCCAGATCCGCCCAGATCTGGCAGCGAAATGCCAGAGATATGCAGAGATCTGGTGCTTAAATGGCAGATTTGCCTAAATCTGGCAGCAAAATGCCAATAATATTTGCATCAATCGTTTTTTCCCATTTATTCACGATTTGTTTTACTATTTTATGTAAAATTTCGGACGAAATTTTGCACCAGATAATATCGAAAATTTCGGGGGAAATTTTCGATGGCGAATTTTTCGCCCAAATTTTGAAAAATTCGGCGAAATTTTGCACCCTGAGTGTGGGGACGGCGGCGACGCATCAATTACTGTTGTTTGTCTGACGACCGACGACGGTCTGGTGTGCGGTGCGGGCGAGCGAGTCCTCCTGATGGTCTCATGCGATGCGTTGGACCGTGTGACCGGCATGCGAGTTTTGAATGTGAGGATTTGAGTGAGGGGCTGTGAGGGGCTGTGAGGGGCTGTGAGGGGCGTGAGGGGCTGTAAGGGGCTGTGAGGGCGAAAGTAGGCATTCATTCCAGATGGAGTTGAGTCGTTATGTGTTATTGATTGATCTTCAGTGAAACATGCGCATTGTATTGTAAGCATCTCGCGCCTTATAAGCAACGCGCACTTTCCCTCCTTATAAGCAACGCTCCTTTTCCTTATCAGCAACGCGCCTTTTCCTTATAAGCAACGCGCCTTTTCCCTCCTTATAAGCAACGCGTCTTTCCCTCCTTATAAGCAACGCGCCTTTTCCCTCCTTATAAGGAACGTGCCTTTTCCCTCCTTAATTTCTGGTTGTGCTAACAACACCTTCCGTTGCAACTAACTGACTCACCTCGCTCCACCGCACCCCACCTTGCTCCGCCACGCCCCACCTTTTCCCTCCAGGTTGCTCCCCCAAATGCCTGACATTCCAACGGAAATTGTCCAACTCTCCCGCCTGGAATCCCTGTGAGCACTGCTGGGCCTGCGAGGGGGGTTGCAGGTAGGAGGGGAGGGTTGCTGGGTGGGGAGGGGGGTTGCTGGGTGGGGAGGGGGGTTGCTGGGTTGGAGGGTTGCTGGGTGGGAGGGTTGCTGGGAAGATGGATCAACCAACGATTGAATGTTGGAGGGTCAGTGCGATGCAAAGCATGGATGTTGTTGGTGTGGTGTGAGTTGATTTGGATGGCTCGCTTGTTTTGGATTTGAGGCGCCTCAAAACTACGGTCAGTGCGATGCAAAGCATGGATGTTGGTGTGAGTTGAGTTGATTTGGATGACTCGTTTGGGAGTTCATTTGCAAACCAAGCCTGGTGTGGGGAACCGGGATTGTTGGTGTGAGCTCATTTGCGTGGCTTGTTGGGGAGATGCAAGTCGGTCATTCTTTGTCACTCATGTTCCACTCCACTACACTCCTCTCCACCCCTCTTCACTCCACTCCACTCCATTCATTCATCGCTCGGAACCTCCCCCCTTCCCGCCGCCCTCCCCACTTCCCGCCGTCCTGGCAGGCAGGAGCACGGAGGGTGTTCGTGTGATGCCCTCCTTTCATGTTTTGAGACGTCTCAAAAGCCCTCCTTTCACACTCCATCCATCATTCATCGGCCTTCTCCCATGCTAGGTGACTTTTGAGTCGACTCAAAAGTCATCTCCCATGCTTCCTCCCGCGCCCGGCCATCCCATGCATGCGTGCCCGGCCACCCCATGCATGAGCGCCCACCACCATGGCAGGCAGGAGCCCATGGACGGCGTTAATGGACGGCGTTAATGGACGGCGTTAATGGACGGCGTTAATGGACGGCGTTAATGAAATGCCCAGCCTGCACACACTAACCCCTTCCCCCTTCCCGCCACCCTTCCCCCTTTCCCACTTCCCGCCCTGGCATGGCAGGAACATGGAGTGCATTAATGAAATGCCCAGCCTGCCTCCTGTCGTTGGCTCTATCACTTCCCTCACCCGCCTGTCAGCCATGCTCCCCCCTTCCCCCGCCACCCTTCCCCCTTCCCGCCACCCTCCCCCCTTCCCGCCCTGGCATGGCAGGAGCATGGAGGGGGTTAATGAAATGCCCAGCCTGCCTTCTGTCCTCGGCGCTCTCACTGCACTCACCCACCTGTCAGTCAACCTTCTTCTTACCTCCCTCAGTTCCTCCACTCACCTCCCTCAGTTCCTCCACTCACCTCCCTCACCTCACCCATCCATCGCCATGCATGCCCCCAGCGTGCCTTCTCTCCTAGGCGTTCTCCCTTCCCTCACCCGCCTGTCTGTCAGTCATGCTCACCTCCCTTGCTCCCACCGCCCTCCCTTCCTCCCGCCCCCCTCCCTTGCTCCATCACTTGCCGGCAGTCAACCTTCTTACGCCTCGCTACCCTCACCCGCCTGTCTGTCAGTCATGCTCCCCTCCCTTGCTCCATCACTTGCTCCCGCCTTCCTCCTTTGATCCCGCCGCCCTCACCCTTCCTCCCACCGCCCTCCCCCTTCCTCCCACCGCCCTCCCCCTTCCTCCCACCGCCCTCCCTTCCTCCCACCGCCCTCCCCCTCCTCCTCCCACCGCCCTCCCCCTTCCTCCCACCGCCCTCCCCCTTCCTCCCACCGCCCTCCCCCTTCCTCCCACCGCCCTCACCCTTCCTCCCACCGCCCTCCCCCTTCCTCCCACCGCCCTCCCCCTTCCTCCCACCGCCCTCCCCCTTCCTCCCACCGCCCTCCCCCTTCCTCCCACCGCCCTCCCCTTCCTCCCACCGCCCTCACCCTTCCTCCCACCGCCCTCCCCCCCTCCCACCGCCCTCCCCCTTCCTCCCACCGCCCTCCCCCTTCCTCCCACCGCCCTCCCCCTTCCTCCCACCGCCCTCCCCCTTCCTCCCACCGCCCTCCCCCTTCCTCCCACCGCCCTCCCCCTTCCTCCCACCGCCCTCCCCCTTCCTCCCACCGCCCTCCCCCTTCCTCCCACCGCCCTCCCCCTTCCTCCCACCGCTCTCCCGTGCTCATCACTTGCCCGAAGTCAACCTTCTTAACTCCTCGCGTCCCTCACTCGTTTTTCGGTCAACTTTTGAGGCGCCTCAAAAGCCCTTCTTTTCGTCCTCGCCTCACACGTCCCTCACTCATTTGTCAGTCAACCTTCCTTCCTTCCTCAATCCGCTCACTTCCCTCACCTAATAACATGCTTTCCTAACTTTAATCTCCTCCTCCCACCTTCCCTCTCTTCATCCCACCTGCCTCCCTCCATCACATCCCAGTAACCTGATCTCAGCTGTCAGTGGCGGCACCATCCCTGCATCCTTCACCCGACTTAAGAAGATGCGGCGTTTGTATGTGGCAGCACTATTCCCATCCGTGCATGCATGCATTGACTTTTGAGTCGACTCAAAAGTCACGTGGTAGCACTATTCCCATCCGTGCATGCATGCATTGGTGTGCGTTTTGTGTGTGTGTGTGAAAGGGAGGGGAAGGGGGAGAGGTGGGGTTGTGGATTGGTGGGGGGAGGCGCGAGCGCGCGCACTAGGGATGAGCAAATTCCTGAACGCCTGTTCGGTTCAACCGAACAGGTTTTTTTTTTTTGCCTAAAATGTTCAGGCCGAACATGTTCGACGTTCGACACTGACATTTGGGGCCCCCAAGTCGAACACGAACACGTTCGTGTTCGAATTGGGGGGCCCGCGAACATCAAAGTGTTCGCGTCAATGGCCGCGACCAAATTTAGGTCGCGTCCGTTTTGTGTTTGAGCTCATTTCGTGAGCTCAAACTCAAACCGCTTTTACAGCTTATCCCTCCCTTTCACAACCGCCCTAGCCTTATTGTTTTAGAAGCTTTCACACAACGTTACCACTAATCTACACGGAGATTAGATCTAGGCTTTCCCGTAGTTTAGTGTGTTTAGGGTAACTTCACGGTTGAGTAGCATAGGGATCAAGCAGCGAGTGGTCAAAGCCGTAGGGTTCGGGTCGGGCATTTCAGAAACCTACACGTGTTGGAATACGTTAAGGACCGTGCTACACGACGAAAGCGACCGTTGCTTCGAGGGGATTTTAGGGTTTTAGGGCCGAGGGCGGAGTTATGGCTTCCGACCATGGTGGATCTTTAGCAAGAGATGCAGGCAGCGCTGAGGGCGGCGCACCAGGTTCCCCACCCCGACCCATGGAGGAGCGAGTAGGGGATGGACCTGGAGGAGCTGGCGCTTGCTTCGTGGGGGGGTTTCTTTCCTTGGCGGCGCCGACATCTCGTCACTCTTTCCGTTACGACGGCCCTCGACCCCCTCCTTCAGGGCAGACGCGGCCGGAGAGTGGCAGTGGGGAGGAGGATGAGGAGGAGGAGGGTGAGGGCGAGGAGGATGAGGATGACGAGGGGAGCGGGGATGACAGTGAGGCCGGGTGGGACCCAGAGACGCATGGCGGTGGGGAGGGGGGGGATGATGATGAAGACCATGAGATGGATGGGTCGGAGCTAGAGGAGGTGGAGGAGGAGATGGGAGAGGGTGGTGGAGGGGCGACGACAGAGGCGGGATCACCGCGTGCGTCGAGACGTTCCTCAGCCCATTCGCCAAAGTTTCAAAGGCGGCAGAGGGGGCGGCGTACCCTACAGTGTCGATGGTGGTCCCGTACTACAACGGCCTGATCGACGCTATGGAGTCGCGCCTTGCCAAGGGGCCATCGACTACGCTGAAGCCGATGATTGAGGCGGCGCTGGGTCTCTTGAAGAAGTATGAACTGATGTCCAGCAACGAGTTGTGGATCGCCACCTTCTTGGACCCTTCCATGAAGGCGGCGTGGTTCGACGACGCGCACTGGGAGACGCTGCATCCCGAGACCGAGCGGAGGGTGAGGCCGCGTCCCACGTCAGGCGAGGTGATCCAGCTGGTACGCGACCGCGTGGCCGAGTAGCAGGGCCGGGCTGCAGCGCTTGCACCCCGGCCGACCCCACTTGCCCCCGTGACGGAGGATGAGGAGGGGGACGAGGCGGATGACGGCGAAGACGCGCAATTTCTCCGTAGTCGGAGACGACTTGCGGCGCGTCTGTCAGCGAGCCAGGAGGCGGGGAGGGGCGGGATGGTGCAGGATGACGAGGTTAGCAGGTACTTGTCCGAGAGGGTGCGGTGCGACGTGACAGGGTTGGAGTACTGGCGCACCGCCACCAACATGCAGACGCTGAGGCGCATGGCCCGGGACTATCTCGCCATCCTTGCCACGTCCGCTTCGAGCGAGCGCGTGTTCTCTCTTGGCCACAACCTCATCTCTGGAAGCGGCACCGCCTGGCCTCTCAGAGGACGCGAGCTGTCATGATTCTCAGATCATGGTACAGTTCACACCCTGGCCAGAGGATAGGCGAGGGCCGCCGTGCAAGAGGCGTTGCACCACCAGAGTTTGCCATTGAAGGCGAGGGGGAGGAGGAGGACGACGAGGAGGAGGAGGAGGATGAGGAGGAGGAGGAGGGTGTGGGTGCTGGCGACACAGCTGGCGGGGAGGATGCTTTTGTTGGTAGTAGCAGTGGTGCTCAGGCGTAGGATTTTATTTGACATTGACACATATATTCACGAAACATGATGGTGTGGTAGTACAGTGTGCGTTTTCAGACACCTACACACCGTGCAAACCCCTATCTATCTTCCCGACCCTCAAAATCCCCTTTCTGATCTCTGTGACTAAAACGAATTTCCCCCTGGGGCGAACTCGAACATGTTCGGCCCTTGTGCGAACGGCGAACACCTTCCTACACCTAAATAGTTCGCCGAACCGAACACTGTTCGGTTCGGCAGAAGGAGATGTTCGTGCGTGTGTGGGGGAGGGGGGGGAGGGGGGTGGGGGGGTGCGTGCGTGCGTGTGCGTTCGTGCCTGTGTGCGTGCGTGCGTGTGTTACCATTCCTGGAGAGCGGCAACTGCCCATCCTCTTCTCTCCTCGCTTACGTGTTTTACTCTGCCCATACTCCCATTTCCCATTTCCCGTTTCTCCCAATTGAGTTGAGCCCTTTGCCCTCAACCCCTCCTAGGTCGCACAGGGCCCTAAAACACAACTTTTGAGGCGCCTCAAAAGCACAGCCCGAAATCACAACTTTTGAGGCGCCTCAAAAGCACAGCCCGAAATCACAACTTTTGAGGCGCCTCAAAAGCACAGCCCGAAATCACAACTTTTGAGGCGCCTCAAAAGCACAGCCCGAAATCACAACTTTTGAGGCGCCTCAAAAGCACAGCCCGAAATCACAACTTTTGAGGCGCCTCAAAAGCACAGCCCGAAATCACAACTTTTGAGGCGCCTCAAAAGCACAGCCCGAAATCACAACTTTTGAGGCACCTCAAAAGCACAGCCCGAAATCACAACTTTTGAGGCGCCTCAAAAGCACAGCCCTAAATCACAACAATCCGGACCGGAGGGCCCTAATTGCCTTCTGCCTCGCCGATTGCCCTCTGCCCCTCCATCTCCTCTCTACCCCTCTGCCTTCTCCCCCTTGGTCTCACAGGGCCCTAAATAACAACCTGGAGGGCAGCGACATTCCCCCCTTGCTCTCCTCTCCTCGCTTAATTGGGTGTTTTTGAGAATTCTCAAAAACACCGATTGCCCTCTGCCCCTCCATCTCCTTTCTACCCCTCTGCCTTCTCCCCCTTGGTCTCACAGGGCCCTAAATAACAACCTGGAAGGCAGCGACATTCCCCCCTTGCTCTCCTCTCCTCGCTTATTTGCCTTCCGTTACCCACACGCCCATCTCCCCCCGTTTGCTCACTTGCACACTGCCCCGTACCCATCCCTCCTTGGTCGCACAGGTTCTCAATAACAACAACCCTGGAAGCGACATTTCTCCCTTGCTCTCCTCTCCTCCGCTTATTTGCCTCCCAATTGCTCACGTGCCCATTGCCCTCTCCTCTTCCCCTCCGTGCTCGCGCAGAGTCCTGATGAATAACAATGTTGGAGGGCGACATTCCTCCCTTGCTCTCCTTCCTTCCCCATTTGTGAATTTGCCCCTATGCGTCTCAACTGCCCCTACCCACCCCTCCGTGCTCGCGCAGAGTCCTGTTGAATAACAACCTGGAGGGCGACATTCCTCCCTTGCTCTCTTCGCTCACTGCTCTCACACACCTGTACGCCCACACTCGTTCCTCTATATACCTCCACACCACAACACATAGTTTTTGCGTATTTAGAGGACTAAGCCGTATCTTTTCTCGTGCTCCTCCCCGCATGCAACCTTGCTGCTGCCCATTCCCCTCTCCTCCTCCTCCAACACCTTTTTGCCCATCCCCCTCTCCTCCCCTCCAACTCCTTTTGCCCATCCCCCTCTCCTCCCCTCCAACTCCTTTTGCCCATTCCCTCTCCTCCCCTCCAACACCTTTTTGCCCATCCCCCTCTCCTCCCCTCCAACACCTTTTTGCCCATCCCCATCTCTCCCCTCCACCTTTTGCTCATCCCCATCTCTTCCCTCCACCTTTTGCCCATCCCCCTCTCCCCACCCACCTTCAGTGGAATAAGAGCTGAAAAAAAAATTCCTGGTTATAAACCGGGTACAATCTCTTGCTCAAGAATTCTTCTCAACTGCAGCTCGCCTAAGCTTCAGTGCCCACCCGGTCTACTTCACTCCAAAAAACAAAGTCGACTAAAAAATCGACCTATCACATTGAGTCAACCCGAGAATCGACTTATCAGATTGAGTCGACTCAAAAATCGACTGATCACATTGAGTCGACTCAAATCGCCTTATCACATTGAGTCGACTCAAATCGACTTCTCTCACACACTTCTATGGCTACCCGGTCTGCTTCGCTGCTGTGTCCACTCTCCTTCGGCCCCCCTCCCCCACCTCTCCTCCCCCGTGCTCCCCCCAGGTCCTCGGTTCTAACAAGTTCGCCTCCTCGGTGCTAAAATCTCCAACCGAGCTCCCACCTCCTCTCCCTGTTCTTCCCCACCTTCCCTCTCCCTCCTCCCTCGCCCTTTTCTTCCCCCAGGTCCCTCAATTCTAACAAGTTTTCCTCCTCCATTCCTGCTAAAATCTCCAAGCTTCAGAAGCTCGTTACACTGTATGTTGAGGCTTGCTACTCTTGTGCCTTTGTGCTGTTTCTCCTTTTTTCCCTTTTCCTTATTCTATTTGCTGCAGAACAGAACGGTGCTTGTTTCTATGTGTGGTGTGGACTGGCTGGCGGTTGTGCCAGCTACGTTACTAAAAAAAATCCAGTCGCTCTCGTGTGTGTGTTGTGTTCCCTGTTTGCTCGATCAAGTGCCTGAAGCTCTGCTCTTCTTTCAGCATGTGTCTCCTCCCTCCTCCTCCTCCTCCTCCTCCTCCTCCTCCCTCCTCCTCCTCCTCCTCCTCCTCCTCCTTCCTCGTCCTCCTCCTCCTCCTCCTCCTCCTCCTCCTCCTCCTCCTCCTCCTCCGCCCCCCCCCTCCCCCCCCTCCCGCTCCCCCTCCCGCTCCCGCTCCCCCTCCCCCTCCCCCTCCTCCTCCTCCTCCTCCTCCTCCTCCTCCTCCCCTCCTCCTCCTCCTCCTCCTCCTCCTCCTCCTCCTCCTCCTCCTCCTCCTCCCCCTCCCCCTCCCGCTCCCCCTCCCGCTCCCCCTCCCCCTCCCCATCCCCCTCCCCCTCCTCCTCCTCCTCCTCCTCCTCCTCCTCCTCCTCCTCCTCCTCCTCCTCCTCCTCCTCCGCCTCCTCCTCCTCCTCCTCCTCCTCCTCCTCCTCCTCCTCCTCCCTCCCTCCTCCTCCTCCTCCTCCTCCTCCTCCTCCGCCTCCTCCTCCTCCCCCCTCCCCCTCCCCCTCCCCCCCTCCCCCCTCCCGCTCCCCCTCCCCTCCCCCCCCCTCCCCCCCCCTCCCCCCCCCCCCCCCTCCTCCTCCTCCTCCTCCTCCTCCTCCTCCTCCTCCCCTCCTCCTCCTCCTCCTCTCCTCCTCCTCTCTCCTCCTCCTCCTCCTCCTCCTCCCCTCCTCCTCCTCCTCCTCCTCCTCCTCCTCCTCCTCCCCCTCCTCCTCCTCCTCCTCCTCCTCCTCCTCCCCCTCCTCCTCCTCCTCCTCCTCCTCATCCTCACATCTCTTAGTCCTCTCAAATACCTTTCAGCACGCATCGACCCCATCCACGAGTGAATGAGTCAACATCAGTTGCAGCTGTTTCTAGAGAAAAAAAAAGAAGAAGAAGAAGAAAAACAAACAAACAAACAAACAAACAAACAAACAAACAAACAAACAAACAAACAAACAAACAAACAAACAAACAAACAAACAAGCAAGCAAGCAAACAAGCGAAAATGAAAACTTGTGAGAATGAGTCAACATGAGTGCAGCGCTCGTCCATTCTCCTTCCCCTACCCTCTCCCCTCTACTCTCCCCCCTCCCCTCTCTCCCTCTCCTTTCCCCTCTCCTCTATGCCCTCACACCTCTCCCCTTTCCCCTCGCACCTCTCCCCTCTCCCCTCGCACCTCTCCCCTCGCACCTCTCCCCTCTCCCCTCGCCCCCTGCCCCTCGCCTTTCGCGCCTAACACCTCGCCCCCCTCTCTCCCCACGCCCCTCAGTGGTTTATTGCGCGACCAGGTCTCCTGCTCCCTCTCCCCCCTCACCGCCTCACTTTTGAGGCGCCCAAAGAACAAGATGCTTCACTCGCTTCTCGCCCCTCTCTTCTCTAACGATCCTTCGTATTAATAGCAGCAATGGACAAACGAGACTAGGCATCATTTCTCTCTCTCCCCACGCCCGCAGTGATCTATCACGCAACCAGATCTCCTCTCCCCCCTCACAGCCTTTTTGTAGGCGCCTCAAAACTCGTCTCACACCCGTCCCCCCCTCCCCTTCTACCCCCTCGCCCCTCTCTCTCCCCCCGCCTGCAGTGATCTATCGCGCAACCAGATCTCCGGCTCCCTGGCCCCCCTCACAGCCCTGCCGCAGCTCACCAAGCTGTGAGTCAGACCTTTCTAGTAAGTCTATGCTGTTAGTCCTCGCCTCCACTTAGTCTCTTCTACAACCAGATCTCCGGCTCCTTGGCCCCCCTCACAGCCCTGCTGCAGCTGAGCACAATGTATGCTCTCATCCCAACGCCTGCCTGCTGTAAGGTGCTTTTGAATCGTCTAAAAAAAGCCTCCTGTAAACCCCCTGCACCATCTCTTCTTCTTGCACCATCTCTCCTGTAAACCTTCCTACTGCTACATCTCCGCCTTCCTCTCCCCCCTCACGGCCCTGCCGCAGCTGAGCAAAGTGTATGCTCTCATCCCAGTGCCTGATGTTAAACCCCCCAGCATCCCTTCTCGCCCTTTATACCTTCCTACTGCATCTATGGGCCATACATGGGCAAACGAGTCGAGTTTTTCCTCGACTCGTTCGAGGGACTCGAAAAGCTCGAGTTTTGAGTTTGCTTTTTTGTCTAAAAAACTCGGTTGCTCGAGTCTAGTTTTGCTCGCGAGTTAAAAAAAACTAGTGAAAAACTCGGCTACCAAGCAAGTTTTTGGTGCTCGTGAGCATTCCGCCGCTAGATCCGCCCGCGCCTAGCATTCCGCCGCCAGATCTGCCCGCACCTAGCATCCCGCCGCTAGATCCGCCCGCACCTAGCATTCCGCCGCTAGATCCGCCCGCGCCTAGCGTTCGCTTTGTGGCACAAAAAACTCGGCGAGTTTTCCTCGACTCGACTCGTGTGTGACAAAAAACTCGTCAAAACGAGTCAAGTAAAACTCTACTCGTCTTTTGCCCATGTATATCTATGGCTCTCTGTCCCCCTCCTCACAGCCATGCCACAGCTCAGGGAGATGTATGTATGTACGCCCTGTTTTGAGATGTTTCAAATCCGACTGTTGTGACTTCTAAGTCGACTGTTGTGACCTTTAAGTTGACCCCCCTCACAACCCTGCTACGACTCAACCTAACGTATGTTCACCGTGTCTCAGTAGACCTGTATTGTAAGATCCTCGATTGATCCTAGGAGGGTTACAGACGTTTTTTCGCCTGGGCGGTTAGTGGCGCACGGACCCGCTACACAAAGAAGCCATTTTATTTTAGTGATCTAGTGGCTGGGATTCTGACATGGTATCAGAGTGGACTTGGGTTCGAATCCCGGCGTATGTACATGCAGGCCGGTGCTGCGATGCCGAGTCCTGGACCTCCCAGTGTGGGGGGGGGGGTTCAGTAGACCTGCACTGTGAGATCCCCGATTGTCCTAGGGGGGTATAGGCGCTTTCGCCTGGGGGGTTATGGGCCCGCTACACAAACAAGCCTTTTATCCCAGTGGTCTAGTGGCTGGGATTCTGACTCCCTATTATGGAAATTCTCATATGTGACTATATCTGGCTGTTTTACAAACTCACATGTTATTCCCATGTGTAATCCCATCCCAATTCAATGGCTAACTGGTGTAATCGATTCTACATTCCTAGTCATCCTATTCACAACACTTTCTCAGTGTAGGTATTTGAAGCATTCCGTAAAAAATTCCTTATTGTCGCTAGGTGGACCTGGCCCGGAGATAAGGCATTGTGATGTTTCTGGGTAATCAACAAAAGAGCCATTTTTAATTAAATAAATATTTAGTCCTTTTTGTTTTCTCGTCCTTCAGTTCTTCATCCCTCCCCCGCACCCTCACCATCCCTCTTTACCCTCCCAAACCATGCTTTCCCCCACCCAAACCAAAACAACCCTGTTGCAACAGCAATCTCGAATTCAATCTGCTCAACGGAAGCCTGCCAAGCTCCATCTCTAAATTCAAGAGGCTCAAAGAGCTGTACGTTCCTTGTGGGTTTTTGGTGTGCTGTGTGGTGGCAACCTGGTAACCGCATAGTAACCACGTGCCATAGGGTAACCACCAAAACTCTTATCTCCAAAGTCAAGAGGCTAATCCATCCGAGCTATATGTTGCTTATGGATGTTTGCAACCGGGTAACCACATGGTAGCTGCAAGAGGCCAAGCTCTATCTCTAAATTCAAGAGGCTGACCGAGCTGTACATTGCTTATGGGTCTTTGGTGTGCCCAAACTCTCGATTCCAAACTCAAGAGCCTAACTGAGCTGCTCCAAACTCAATCTGCTAAGCTCAAGCCTGCCAAGCTCTATCTCTAAATTCAAGAAACTGACAGAGCTGTACGTTGGTGGCAACATGGTAAGCTATGTGGTAAGTAACGGTGTAAGGTAACTATGTGGTAACCACAAGGGGTGGTCAAGTGAAGCTGCATCCTCAAACTCAAGAGCCTTACAGAGCTGTGCATTACTTGCCAGCTCTTTGCTGTATGGAGGCAGCAGCTTGGTATGGTAACTACATGGTAACCATGTGGTAACTGCAAGAGGCCCTGAGCGTCTAGGACACAGGATGCGCGGTTCGGGCCTGTGAGACGCTGGAAAAGACGCAAGCCCGGGCAGGCAAAAAGAGAGTCCGGGCAGCCAGAAATACCTTCTATGGGGCACAGGGAGGGGAGAGATATGGACGTAGCTCTCATTTCAGGCATTTTTTTCCCATTCCATTCCAAAAATGTTTCTCTATACATAAATTTCACAAGTCACAACACATCACGTCACACATGGTTTGTGGGCTGTTTTTGAAGGTCGAAATGGGTGGGGGGGGGGAGGGAATTTCGCGATTTTTTTTTTTTCCAGTCTGCCCAAAAATATTTCCCCTATACATGCGTCCTGCGTCTTGGTGGGCGTCCTGCATCCGGATGCAGCATCCAGATGCAGGACACAAGACGCCCTGAGCGTCCTCTGCAACATAGCCTCGGTCTATCTCACGCCTTTTTATTCCCCTGTGGTTCTGTGATATGTATCTCTCCTACTCTGCACTCTGCGTGTTCAGGTCTCTTACAGCCAACAAGATCAGTGGCCCTATGCCTCGACCCATCTCAATCCTCTCTAACCTCTCAGGCATCGCAGGCCTCTTCAATCAACCTTGTTGTTCTCTTATGCCTCTCCCCTCTGCACTCTGCGTGTTCAGGTCTCTTACAGCCAACAAGATCAGTGGTCCTGTGCCTCGAGCCATCTCAAGCCTCTCTAACCTCGTACTGTTGTGAGGCTCTCTCCCTGCCGTGTCTTGAGTTGAGGGAATAAGTCCCATTGTTGTGATTTAAGGTTTTACTTGTTCATACACTGCACCCACTCTTCAAGCCATATCTTCCTTGCTCGCTCTATCGATATCCGCCCCTTGTGTTTCTGTGATTCTTTAAAGCCCGAGTCCCAAATTGCGGGCCGCGCGGGTCAAGCTTTTAAAACTTGACGAACTAGTGTTTTCAAGGTTTGAAGAAAAGCGTGCCTGCAATTTGGGACTTTTGGGAACTGAACCAACCCCCAGGGCGAAATACGAGGGCGGGCTGGGTTTGGCGAAAAAAACGAAAAAAGCGAAATCGGAATCTTTCGCCAAAACCCTCACCACAAAAACCCCCTCGCGTCAACCTTTTAAAACTTGTGCAATTTGGGCTGCCGGCTTTAAGAGTTTCCTGACTTTCGTTCCCCACATACTGGTCGATCCCTGAATTGATCTGTTTCAAAATTGCTCTCTCCTGGAATATTTCTTACTTAGCCAGCGCTTTTGGATTTGATTTGATTTAATTGAGCGTGCTGTGCCTCTTGATCCTCATCAAAATCCGTGCTTGCTTTGTGACTTATGGTCGTGTTGATGGGATATGATAAGCTTTGACATGATTTGATGTGATCTAATATGTGGATGCATGACGTGTGATGATGTCTATATCATGCTACGTACATGACACAAAATTTTCCTGGCATGGTATGTGCATGCATGGCATGGCATGCTCACACTATATGCATGCCATGGCATGGTATCACTGTACCTTTACACGGTGCATGCATGATGTGATGTGATGATGCCATAGGTACCTGGGAACCAACAACTTCACGGATACCATCCCATCTTCCATCGGCTCTTTGAGGAAACTCATTGCCCTGTAAGCGATGCCATGCCATGCGATGCGATGCGATGCAATGCAATGCCATGCCATGCCATGCGATGTGATGCAATACAATACCATACTTTGCCATGCGATGTGATGCAATGCAATGCACCCACAACCGCCGATCTCCATAATATTGGGATGAGTCTTGAGTCGACTAAAAGTATCCCATCTGCCATCGGCTCTTTGAAGAAACTCATTGCCTTGTACGCGATGCGATGCGATTCCATCTTATGTCGTACAACCCCATACCAGGGAGCTTGCTTTTGAGTCGACTTAAAAGCGATGCAATGCGATGCAATTGCATCTTATGTCGTACAACAACCCCATACCAGGGAGCTTGCTTTTGAGTCGACTTAAAAGCGATGCAATGCGATGCAATGCGATGCAATCGCATCTTATGTCGTACAACAACCCCATACCAGGGAGCTTGCTTTTGAGTCGACTTAAAAGCGATGCAATGCGATGCAATCGCATCTTATGTCGTACAACCCCATACCAGGGAGCTTGCTTTTGAGTCGACTTAAAAGCGATGCAATGCGATGCAATGCGATGCAATCGCATCTTATGTCGTACAACAACCCCATACCAGGGAGGGAGCTGAATCTGTTTTTGAGAATTCTCAAAAAACCGATGCAATTGCATCTTATGTCATCTTATAAATCTGTTTCCCATACCTAAATCAGGGAGCTTGCCAGTCAGTGTTGCCAATCCCCCTTCCCCCTTCCAACCTCCCCGGCGCCACCCAACCAGGGGTGGCTTTCATACAACCCCACATATCAGGCAGCATTCCGACATCAATGTGCTCCCTTATATGTCTTATGGAGCTGCCTAAAAACTGCACCCTCACTCCTTTATCCCTTTTTCACCCTCTCTCCGACGCTCAACTAGGGACCTGGCATACAACCCCATGTCAGGCAGGCTGTTGGTTGGTGTGTGCTAGCCCGTTTCCCCCTTCCCCCTTCCAACTTCCCCATTACCCCACCCCTCTCCCCGCCCAACCAGGGACCTGGCATACAACCCCATGTCAGGCAGCCTGCCAGCAGCCATGGGCTCTTGAAGTGCCTGCCCCCTTCCAACCTCCCACCCTTCCAACCTCCCACCCTTCCAACCTCCCACCCTTCCAACCTCCCACCCTTCCAACCTCCCATCCCACCCTTCCTCCCACCGGCCAACCACCGGCCCACCCACCCATCACCCACCCAACCAGGGACCTGGCATACAACCCCATATCAGGCAGCCTGCCAGCAGCCATGGGCTTCCTCAAATCCCTCAGAATGCTGTGCGCTTCTTCTTCAGTTTCTTCAGTAGATTGCCTCCCTCCTTTCAAATCCCTCAGAATGCTCTACGCTAACGTTTCATTCTCATTTTAGGCACTCAGCTCCTTCATGTCAAATCTTCATTTCGAAATTTGGGCTGCGATGTGGTCCCTTACATTTAGTTTTGAGGCTCCTCAAAACTAGATTTGGGCTGCGATGTGGCCCCTTACATTTGAGAAATCACTTATGTGGCTCACATTTCTTCACTGTCAGATTCTTCCCTCGCGCAGTGTTCCACTCCACTCCACCCTCGCTGTTTTGCTCTTCCTTATTCTCACTGCTAGTCCCTCAAGATCCCTCCTTCATATCATACCTCCCTTGGTTATCCTGAATTCACTAACGCTCATCCTTAAATTCCCTTGATGACAAGTCTAATAGCATAGAGATTAGGGCAACATGCCTCAATAACCCCTACGGACCTCCCTAGCTCCTTGTATAAACTCCCCCCCCCCCTTCCCTGTATGCCCTTCTCCTAATTTCCTTGCATCACCTGTTTCCTCTGTCCTTGTATCACCTCTCCCTTTCCAGAAACCTCATCTCAGCACGCATCAACAACTCTCTGCCTCTCGCCCTTACGAAGCTGCAAGCGCTTGACAGCCTGTAAGCCTGGGTCACTAGTGCATTGACTTTTGAGTCGACTCAAAAGTCAACTCGCTTGACAGCCTGTAAGCCTGGGCCACTGGTGAGCAGGGTCGTACGTATCAAACAGAGTAGACTTTGAGCATATAAACTTGTCAGACCTCCTAGCGATATGATTTTTTGAGTCGACTCAGAGAGAGCAGCTGCAAGCACTTGACAGCCTGTAAGCCTGTGTCACTGGTTAGCACAATCGTACCTACAGAACCAAGCAAACTTTGAGCATACAAAGTGTGTGTCACTGGTTAGCACGATCTTACCTACATAACAGAATAGACTTTGAGCATACAAACTTGACAGCAGCACCTCCTAACGATATGAATTTTGAAACGTCGCGTAAACAGCAACCTTCGAGCACCTGCAGCCTTTAATTTTAACGGGAGCCTTAGAGCGATATTGTCAGAGGTCCACTGGAGATCCCCGATTGATCCTAGGGAAGGGTTACAAGCACGTTGGCCTGGGGGGTTATGGGCGCACTCACCCGCTACACAAACAAGCCCTTTTATCGCACTTACAGCCTTTAAGTTTGTGCCCCACAGCACTTTTGAGACATCTCAAAACTTGGCAGCAGCACCTCCTAGCAATATGCTTTTTTTTGTCGTCACCAAAGGAGCAGCTTCGAGCACTTACAGCCTGTAAGCTTGTGAGTTACCTCTAAGAGCATGCTAGCTGTGAGTAATGGCAGGAGGTATACGCGTGTCCTTATTCGGTCACTCCACTCAACGTGTTGCTCTCTCTCTCTCTCTCTCTCTCTCTCTCTCTCTCTCTCTCTCTCTCTCTCTCTCTCTCTCTCTCTCTCTCTCTCTCTCTCTCTCTCTCTCTCTCTCTCTGCCTTATCTCCCTCCTCTCCCCTCTTTCGAGTCGCTCAAAGGTCAATGTCGCATGTTGCCTTTTTGTGCCTTCTTTCCTCTCCTCTCTTTGTAACTCCCTCCCTCCGTTCTTTCTTTGTCTCCTCTCCACTGTGCTCCCACTGTCCGCTTCTCCCCGTGCCCTTTCTGCTCTCCCCCCCCCCCAAGCAACTTGCCCTACAACCAGCTCTCTGGCTCATATCCCGGCTTCCTCGCTAACCTTTACGGCTCGTTGGCATGCTCTTACTCGGCCATTCCACTTGCTCGTCTTTCTGTAACATGCTCATGCCCTCCTCTCCTTCTCCCCCCAGCAACTTGCCGTACAACCAGCTCTCAGGCTCATTTCCCGGCTTCCTCGCAAACCTGTCGTCTCTCACTTTGATGTAAGCATGATGTGAGCATGATGGAGGCATGACACAAGCATGATGTAAGCATGATGTGAGCATGATGTAAGCATGATGGAGGTGACATAAGCATGATGTAAGCATGATGTAAGCATGATGTAGGCATTATGTAAGCATGATGTGAGAATGATGTGAGCTTGATGTAAGCATGATGCGAGCATGATAGGCATAATGTGATCCTGATGTAAGTATGGCGTAAGCATGATGTAAGCACGATGTAGGCATAATGTAGGTAGGCATGGTGGCCCCTGTTATCAGGTGTCTAGGCATGATAACAGGGGCGTTGCCAATTCACTGTCTCGCCTGACCAACTCCCTGACAGTGTCAATGAGTTGGTAGACAACGCCAACTCATTGACACTGCCTACCAGCTCGCTGACTTGTTCGTCTTGCTGCCTCTCCACTCCACTTGCCGCCTCCCTCCCTCCTTCTTAGTCGCTTCAAAAGCTGTAGCCCTTGTGTCCTTCCCTCCTTCTCTTTCCCTCAAGTTTTATAGCCCTTGTACACTTCCCCCTCCTCCTCTTCCCTGCACCCAGTGACATGAGTAATAACCAGATTAGCGGCTCCCTCCCATCCTCCCTCCCTCCCGGCCCTTCCTGTTTGACTTGCCTCAAAAGCCCATGCCCTGTGTGCTTCCCTCACTCCTCTTCCCCACACCCAGTGACATGGCTGGTAACCAGATTAGCGGCTCCCTCCCATCCTCGTTAGGAGACTTCACAAACCTCTACAGACTGTAAGGGGCACTTTCCGTCCACAGCCATGCGATGTCATGCCATGCCATGCCATGCCATGCCAAGCCATGCCATGCCACGCCATGCCACGCCATGCCATGCCATGCCATGCCATGCTATGCCATGCCATGCCATGCCATGCCATGCCATGCCATGACATGCCACGCCGTACCATACCATGCCATACCGTACCATGCCATACCATACCATGCCATGCCATGCCATGCCATACCATACCATGCCATGCCATGCCATGCCATACCATACCATGCCATACCGTACCATGCCATACCGTACCATGCCATACCGTACCATGCCATACCGTACCATGCCATACCATACGATGCCATACCGTACCACGCCATACCATGTTACCTTATGCTTTAGGTAAGTGATCAAAAGCATGGAGAGAAACAACTGATCTCCTGTGCCACTGTAATCATTGGTGCTGAATTGAAGCAGCAATCGAACAATAAGAGCAACTCCCTCTGCCTGTTCTCTCCCTCTGCCTATTCTGTCCCTCTGCCTGTTCTCCCCTCCCCACACATGGGCAGACAACTGTCTAACAACAGCATCACCGGCAGCATCCCAGAGGCTATGGGCCGCCTTACCGGACTTGCCTTCCTGTGAGCACCGCAGACCACATGTGAGCACCACAGACCACCTGTGAGCACCACAGACCACCTGTGAGCACCACAGCCCACCTGTGAGCACCACAGCCCACCTGTGAGCACCGCAGACCACCTGTGAGCACCACAGCCCACCTCTGATGTGAGCTTCACTGAATTCGCCCTTGAGAAAGTTGAGAAGCACTTCGCCTTTTGTTTTGTGACTTCTTGGGAAACTCAACTGTCTGTAAGCAGCAGCGTTTCCCCCTTGCTCGAGATGCATCGTCTTTTCTCTTGCTCTTGTGCTTCGCTCAATTAGTCGCTGTGCTCTTGTCCTCTTGTCCGCTTCCTCAATTGTCCTCTTGTCCGCTTCTTCTGCTGTCCTCTTGTCCCTTTGTCCTCTTATTTCCATTCCCTCTTGTTCCATTGCTCCATTCCTTGCCTTTCATGCACTCTTCCATTCCTTGCCTTTCATGCACTCTTCCATTCCTTGCCTTTCATGCACTCTTCCATTCCTTGCCTTTCATGCACTCTTCCATTCCTTGCCTTTCATGCACTCTTCCATTCCTTGCCTTTCATGCACTCTTCCATTCCTTGCCTTTCATGCACTCTTCCATTCCTTGCCTTTCATGCACTCTTCCATTCCTTGCCTTTCATGCACTCTTCCATTCCTTGCCTTTCATGCACTCTTCCATTCCTTGCCTTTCATGCACTCTTCCATTCCTTGCCTTTCATGCACTCTTCCATTCCTTGCCTTTCATGCACTCTTCCATTCCTTGCCTTTCATGCACTCTTCCATTCCTTGCCTTTCATGCACTCTTCCATTCCTTGCCTTTCATGCACTCTTCCATTCCTTGCCTTTCATGCACTCTTCCATTCCTTGCCTTTCATGCACTCTTCCATTCCTTGCCTTTCATGCACTCTTCCATTCCTTGCCTTTCATGCACTCTTCCATTCCTTGCCTTTCATGCACTCTTCCATTCCTTGCCTTTCATGCACTCTTCCATTCCTTGCCTTTCATGCACTCTTCCATTCCTTGCCTTTCATGCACTCTTCCATTCCTTGCCTTTCATGCACTCTTCCATTCCTTGCCTTTCATGCACTCTTCCATTCCTTGCCTTTCATGCACTCTTCCATTCCTTGCCTTTCATGCACTCTTCCATTCCTTGCCTTTCATGCACTCTTCCATTCCTTGCCTTTCATGCACTCTTCCATTCCTTGCCTTTCATGCACTCTTCCATTCCTTGCCTTTCATGCACTCTTCCATTCCTTGCCTTTCATGCACTCTTCCATTCCTTGCCTTTCATGCACTCTTCCATTCCTTGCCTTTCATGCACTCTTCCATTCCTTGCCTTTCATGCACTCTTCCATTCCTTGCCTTTCATGCACTCTTCCATTCCTTGCCTTTCATGCACTCTTCCATTCCTTGCCTTTCATGCACTCTTCCATTCCTTGCCTTTCATGCACTCTTCCATTCCTTGCCTTTCATGCACTCTTCCATTCCTTGCCTTTCATGCACTCTTCCATTCCTTGCCTTTCATGCACTCTTCCATTCCTTGCCTTTCATGCACTCTTCCATTCCTTGCCTTTCATGCACTCTTCCATTCCTTGCCTTTCATGCACTCTTCCATTCCTTGCCTTTCATGCACTCTTCCATTCCTTGCCTTTCATGCACTCTTCCATTCCTTGCCTTTCATGCACTCTTCCATTCCTTGCCTTTCATGCACTCTTCCATTC